ATATATATATATATATATATATATATAAACCAATTACTGATCTACATTTCATATGAATTGTAAGGTTGGTTATGTTTTTCAATACTATCTACAGAATTTTAAATATGATGAAAATGATCAAAACAAAATTAAGCTATTGCCATGTGGAACTTTAAAAAGAATGGGTCTGAAAAAAGGGTTTGTAGTCAGATAAAAAAAACATGATACTTTATCTAGAGCTTTCTTTAGAAAGGAACATAAAGCATGGTAATTTTCTATAAACTGAAAAAAAATTGATGTTCATTTTGAATATTTAGATAGTATTTACTCGATATAAACAATAAAACTATATTTGGGCATAGAGAAAGTGGTATGGTAATGAAAAAAAACTGTTTTTAAGAACTTGACTGGGTTATTGAGACTATTTTCCTAGCTGGGGTATGAGGTGAACACCTAAAACTTCTGCAGGGAGCCAGTGATCAACAGCACAGTCTGCCAGCTACAAGGAAGAATCTGAAACAGCATTATTTCAGCAACTTCTTGGGCTCTTTACTACTCAAGTTTGATTCTCCCTTGAACTTTTCCATACCATGTACTAAACCTATACTAAATATATCTTGAGCGTGGCTTATATTTAAATATCAATGAAAAAGTAACATTTGCAAATGATAAACAGGTTTTCTGAAATAGGGCTAATATCAGTTACATTCATTTGGATTTACTTTAGATTATCAAAAAGTCTAATAATGTTCACAGAGTATGAATCCATGATTGAGTCTTATATACAAATGCCACATTATATAATCAAGCCCCAAGTCCAAGCTGTAGGACTTTTTGCTGAAACACAGACCAAAAACTGTACCTTTGGCCATTTGGGATGACTCATGAATGACTCAGGGTCAGGTTGGATGAATGTCCACACATGCTTTCTCTCCAACTAATATGCAAAAAAAATAATTACAATATTTGCGAAACAATTTCTGAAGCTTGGTTTTAGAGAATTACTAGGCTCTCTGATGCACCTGACATCTTCTCATTCATTTTACTTCTTGTCAGAGGACTGGACAGGATTCTCCACCTCCTATCAAGAAGAGGGACAGCATTCCAGGTACTCCTGATACATTTCAATTTGCCGATAAGCTCAGGTTAAGTTAGTTGTGTGTCTGAATTTCATTTAATTAGAATCAAAGGAGTTAATGGTGTAACACACTTGGTCAGATGGGAAAGATAACTAGGAAATATAAATGAAAACAGGAACTTGATGTTGAAGTATATAAGTATCACTTCACAAGCAGGGAAGAAAGATATTTGATGGAACAGAGTGGCAAAAATGTGGGATAGCCCTGAAGAGCAAAAAAAATATTTTTTATGCTCATAAGACTGTATATTTTAAGTGATGCAGAGTTAAATATATCTAATGAAATTTCTTTTATAAGATAAAAGTAAGTGGCAAAAGAAAGGGCAGGGGCAATCTTCTGCATATGTTTTTTTAAAAAGAATTAACCATCTTTCAAGTCCATATTGTTATTCTCAAAACAGTCACTTCTCTATCCCCAAAAAAGAATACAGTCTGGAATGCACATAATTACATGCTTCTAAAACTGGCACTATGCATGGCGATCTTTAAGGTATGTGATATAAGAAAGCTTCAGCTAATGCTCCAAATAAACAGTAAATCTCACTACTGTGACTCTCTGCTTCTTGGATTTAGATAAAGTCGACTAAAGTTCCAGCCTCACAACAGTGATATACAACAGAAGTCCCACACAACAGTTGGCTATGAAAAGTTTTAGTTCTATCCTCAAAACCGAAGGTACAAAGGAGTTCTGCTGCATTTCTCTTTTAAAGTTTCGTTCATTGGTTTGCACTGAAAAGATAATATCTGGTGATCTTGAATATGTCCCAAATTTGGGAACTCTGGTTTTGTTCAGACCATATTTTAATGGTTCTAAAAAATTATTTTGGTTTTACTAAAGTAATTGTTATAAGTATACAGACTAAAAAGGGAATTTTGCAACTTATTTTCCATAGGTAAGGAAAATGTCATGATTAAATTACAATGATTTGAAAAACAAAATATGCTAAACTAGCTGTTGGTAATTGTTTTGATTTACTATGCTTCTAGTCAGTGGAATTTTTTATGTATTTTATAAAAAAATGAAAATGCAGATAAAAATTTGCAATAGAAATTAAGTTTTAAGCAAAGATTCCAGCTAGGTTGTTAGGTAACATTTATTAATTACAATTACTTGCTATATTTAAGCTGCTGATGCCAGGATCTAGGATTACTATAACTTCAGAAACTCAGCTACATTTTTTTCAGGTATGTTTTACTTGTTTCAAATTTCCAGCTTCTGATTACCCTCCAAAATGTCAAGAGGTAACAGATATTTGCTAACACTGTTATTCTACCATCTCCATCAAAATATATGTAATCAGTTTAACTCTTGTCAAAATTAAATTGCTTAAATGGCACAAGTATTTTAAAGTGCATTATTAAATTTTAAGGCTATATTTATAATAGACATTAACACAAAACAATAAAGACCACAGGAATAATTATTTTCAATAGTTGGGGTAGATTTCAGTTACAAAAATGAGAAGATAGGCATATAATCTAATGGGAAGACTCACATTAAGGCATATGCGTAGCTTGCTTATAAAATTAAAATATAAAATAGCTCTTGCATTGAATTTTTTTATTTTATGAAGTATACCAATTAATGTTATTTAAGCCACTAACTTTTTTTTTCATAATTATGAATTTAACAGGCATAAAAGTCCAATGTTAAAAACTGCAATGTTTAACAAGGGAGAAGCTAGATCAATGTCTTGGCAGCTATACTCTAATTTGACAAAGATCAGTGAGAAATGCTAATGATTTGCAGATGCCAGAGTGAGTTAGTCACCCCTTCCTTCTCTCCTCCTCTTTTAGTGAAGAATAGCTACTTAGAATAACAGAGGAGTTGGAAGTTGGGGAGGGTCACTGGGACTAGAAGATATTACAGTGTTTTGAAAGTATTTTAGGGGAGTTGTGGACCATATATTTGGACAGTAGGATTGAAAGATAAAGGTTCAACTTGGGCCCTGGGACTCAAGAGATGGTGGGTGGCAAGGGACGGGTAGTTTCCTGACAGGCACCACTGAATACTGATTCCACAGCAGAGTAAGTACAATTAAAGATATCAGGTTGTAAGCTGACCACTGTTAATTATCTGTTTTTCTGTCTGGTCTACCTTTAGGATACAGTAGCACCTATCAGAAAATCAAGGTGGTGGCAACAGGATGTTGCTTGTACTAAAAGGTTTGACCCCTCTACATTTCTTAACTTCATATACAGAATTTCTTAGGGATCTATGGGGGGTATTCACTATAAAATGAAGGTTTCAGGGCATTCCAAATTTATTAGCATCCCAACAAACCACTGTAACTTACATATAGTGAAATTAACTTTCCTATGGATAATTGTGATCATTCACAATTGCCAACACATTGCTTCCTACTTTTCACAATGGCATAATTAAGTTCCTTTGTAGTGCAACATGCATGAACATGGATAGGGTTTAGAAACTGTGGCAAACATTATCAATTTGGCTATTTCATTTAAATCCCTCAAGTAAAAGTAGGTAATCTAAATATCAATGCATCTTTCTCATGTATCTTATAGACATCTATTGCAGCTTATATTTTTGGAATAAAATATTTTAAAGTTTTGGCAAGGTATTTATTTGGCTAATCAAGCAGGGGTGAAATTATCCTGCAATAGATGCTTTTCTTTAAAAATTACACACTTCTACACAATCTTTCTCATTCTCCAAGAAAAGGATCTCAAACACATTATTCCTATGATCTCATTCACTGAAAATGCATTAAAATTTTATTATAAATATCTTATAAAACCAAATTTTAAAAACTTATTGGAATGTTCCAATAAAGTGACAAAGATATATATAAAGGGTCTTCACTTATGCCGTGTACCAGAGAAGTGGAAACAGTCATGATATCCATTCAATGGGGACTAATTAAATGAATTAAAGTATAGCCCCACACAACTATTTAAACGCTTATGAAAAGGTGTCTACCAATGTATAATGAAATGAAAAATAGTCACAGGACAGTAGATTATTGTTCTATTTGTATAAAACTAATATACACACAGACACACACTTATTTGTATATTTGTAGAAATTGTCTGGAAGGACACATAACAAACCATTAACAGTGGTTACCCCTAGAAAATAAGGGGAGGGATAAAGCAGAGGAGCTTATACTTTCTAATTCTATATGGTTTGATTTCTTTGAGTATATACATTAAATGTACAAAAATGACAAGCCTTGAATAGGAAGATATTTATTGTATGTGCATGCTTTGTCTTCTCAAGTAGTTTTTAGGATTTATCCCAAAAGTTATTACTATTGTTTTACCTTCAATGTTGGCACTAACATATAAATAATCCTTTTAATTTTCTTCTCTCTTTTTCTGATCTTAATGATATTTAGTAAAAAATTCACAAATAATTAATTTAAGTCACTAGCAGGGAAGAGCCTAATATACACCAACTCTGAAAGAGAAAAATGCACACCCTAATTAAAAAAATCTATGCAATAGAAAAATGAAAATCCTGTGCAGCACTGTGCATACTATCTCAAGCATTGATGATAGAGCCTTCACTGATAACAGATACCACTTTGTAACTGGAAAATTGGAACGTTTCCAAATAATATAAAAAGATCTCCAAAAGATAAGTTATTCAAAGAAAGGAATAAAAATCCCTGAGTAGGCCAAAGACAACAGATACAATAACCTAAGAAAACAGATTATCTAAGACCAGAGAGTACATTATTTAACCAGTTGGTACATATGTATCTGACATATGTATTCACATGCAGATATAGAAATGATGTGCATATATATGCTTATATATATACACATGCACATATATACATAAATATATCCACTATAATTTATTATATTCACATATCATTAACATCTAAGTCTAAGAAAGACAAACTTACAAAAATTAAGCACTTTTATGACAGAATTACATGGATTTAGGCTAGAAATTCTCATTCTCTCAGTTTTATTACTAAAGCACATTGAAGAGCCACTCAGCAAATATTTGTTGGATGGATGGATGAATGGAAGTATGAATTTGTGAAACCACAGCATCACTTTTCCTGGTATTATGTTATGCTTTAGAAATATTTCATTCCAAAATCATAAATGGCATAACCTTCTCCGGCTAGAAATAGACTAGTCCAGAAGCTGTAGTATAGGTATTCGGAGTGTTATTTAGAAAAATGGAAGTGCCCATGCAAGTAAACTTCACTATCATGGACTTCTTAGGTCAAATGAAAATCATAAATATTTTTTATATGGAACCCAACAAGATAAACTATCCATGTTAATGCATGTTTTATTATATAATTTATTACAGTTCAGAAAAGGCTGCTGATATATAAATGCTACATCTATGCAGATAGCTAATTTTAAGGATCTGGAGACAAGTGGAAACTCCTAGGAGTCTGTACTTCCATTCTACTGATGAACTGATGAACATTTATAATGAAAACAAAGGAATAACCTAGTTTAGTTACTTGTTCTTTCCTTAACGTTAAAGATTGGTAAAACTTCCTGAAATTATCACCTTCATTTTTTTGTTTCCTTCTCCAAAAGCAGTTTATACTTTTGATAAACCCATGAACACAAAAAGTTTTGTTTTCAAATTACCCCTGCATAAGAAGATAGCAATACATTTTTATGCATTTGAGCAGTAAACGTAAGAAAAACAATGTTGAAACTAGAAAAACTGGGGACAAATAAGAAAGAGAGAGAGAGAGCAATGGTGAAAGTTGTGGTTTTAAATAATCAAGCCTTGATCTAAAGCAGAATTATCTGTAATTATAAGCTGGTTAAAAATTAGAAGAATAAGGATTTGTTTAAAGTCTTAAGCAGTTCCCTCTAAAGCACACTTGTTATTTAAATTAACTAATTCTGCCTGAAGGATTTATTCATATGGTGAAGCATGTTTGCCAAAATATAAGAAATGTGAAAAGAATGTTCAGATCTTGCGAATTTCCTAAAAGCAGCCTATTGGTTTTGTCAGTTTATACAGTTTGAAAATCCTTGAGGTGACACTGTACAGATTTCTGTGTGTGTGTGAGAGAGAAAGAAGGGGAGAGAGAGAGAGAGAGAGAGCAAGAAATAGAAAGGATCAACATTGAAACTGCCTGTTGTCTACATTGACTTTAATTCAGCACATCATCAAATTATGCCCACAAAGGAACAATCGACTTTAAACATGTCTATGAAAATGTGGAAAACTAGAGTAGAGGCATAGAATTTGACAAGCACAGGTTATTGGACCTAGTCTTAATACAGATGTTCAAATATACACACATTCACATCCCTACACATAAACACCAGTAACTCATGATTCTTCTCATTAGTTTCATTAGTTCCCTTTTGGACACTGAAATTCTTGACAATTATAGTATCTGAAGGATGAAGGAATTATACTGCTTGGCCACAGGTGAACACAGGTGCACACAGTAAGCCTTTACCTTCTGACAAGTGGCCTTGCACGTTGGTGCAGGCGGGACTTCAGCTGTTGGCACCAAGCCTCAGAAGAGGGCCTTGGTGGGAGGTTCAGGTACAAAGATAGTCCAAGCAGTGCCCAGCACAGGCACGCTCAGATGATTCTGAGGATAACTGGTTCTCAATTAAAATATTTTCTTCCAAGAACCATTAAGAAGGTCAGAATTATTATAACAGATGTTGATAGTTTATGAAAGTGACCATGTTTTAAAAGCAGCAATGTGTATAAGGAAAGGACAGGATGCCATACTGGGAGCACCCTGGAGCCAGAGGCAGTGCAGCCTGCAGAGACTCATGGCGAGATGAGACGGCAGGTTCCTCTCAGTGTTTTTCAAGATGTGACTCCGATGGCTGTACCATTCCATATAGCTCCTACCTGCACCAGCTTAGTAAATGAAATCATCTGCATTTTACCAGTGCATTCCTGTCCGTGATCGTTTTCTCTGTTTTTTACAAAGGCAATAGATAGGAAATACAAATAAACCTGGGGATAAAAAAAGATGAAAGCTAATTAGGAGGAGAGGCATTTAGGTTTATATATTTGAAAATTTCCCACTTTCAAATTTTCATTTTGTAAATTATTTACAAATAATCATCATTTAGCAATATACAAAAATGAAGAGGAAAGATGCTATGAAATTTATTTACTTCAGTGAGATTTTATTTTTTACTATTTCTCTATAGCTCTCTTAGCTCTCTCTCCCCCTTTCAACAACTTCAGTGATGCCAGTTTGAATATGGAATGTTTTCTAGCAAAATGTCAAACCTTAGGCTTAAGTATTCTCTATTACCTCTAGTCATATCATTTGCACATTGATTATTCACACTGCAGTTTTGGGTGGGATGGCATCATTACTTAAGAACCTGGCCTGTGGAGCCAAATGTCAAGTCTGATTCCCAGTTCTACCACTTAGGAGATCCTGATAAATCTTAATTTCCTCACATCTCAAATGCAGATAATAGTACCCACTTTACAAAGTCTGACTTTTAAATGTCAGCCACTTTAGAATTATATCTGTCCTGCACATACAAATTACTTGCTATATAGTTAGGAAAAAAAAGAAATACCATCTACTATGTGGGACAATTATCAAAGCAACCTTTATCTATAGCATTTAATTAAAATTTCTCTAAAGCAATGGTTCTCAAAGTGTGGTCCCTAGGCCAGCAGAATCAGCATTACCTGGGAGCTTTTTAGAACTAGAAATCCAAGGGTCCTAACACCATACTGACTCAGAAACTGTGGGTAAAAACTAGGAACCTAGTTGTCCAGTCCTCAAGGCTATTCTCCAGCATGCTACAGTCAGAGAACTACTGCTTTAAAATACATATAATATACTTGTGTTAATAAAACTATACAAATCACTGATGCATTTCCTATTTGTCAGTGCTCAAGTTTATGCTGGGTAAATGTGTTCATGTACATCAAAGGGAGCACCCTTTCACTTGAACAAGTCAAACACCCAAGGGTATACCAGGGCCTCTTTTCTTTGATGCTCTAAACTTTATTCAGAATTGGAAAATCCACTGGACTCTTTCACTAAAGTAACTGTTGTACTAACCTTGATGTTGAAAGGGGGTTAATAATGCTTTATAAGATACATAAATCAAAGTGTTCATAGATTGAAAGTGTCATACAAATTCTTCCATATGAAACACACTCCTCTGAATCTATAAATCATATGCTGATATCCTGTCTAAAGAAGACATGGAACAGATACAATATCCACTTAATAACTCACTCACATTATTACATTTACACTCATATTCTCTCTATGGCATTCAGAGAATTCTAATCTCAGTTACACAATAAGTGCTTCTTACCGATTACAACCGCTATGGCCCCTAGTGCTAATCCCAAGACTAGGATTAGAGGTGCAACAAATAATTTTCCAGCTGGAAAAAAAAAGAGGCAAAATCATTTAAAGAGTTTTAAAACTAATTTGCCAAACAATTTCATCAATGCTTTTTAGTACTAGAGTGTATGTTATTTTTTTAAGAAGTCTGATTATAATTAAGGTAGTATTTCATCTAAGGAAATGTATCAGGTGCAGAACAAATATACATATGCAAATTCAGTAACTTCACTAAAGTCCTGGGTATATTAGTCAAATATCTCACAAATCATTTATCCTTTATAACCAAAAGAATTCCAAAGCTATCCTGGCTTACTTTATTGTACCAGGACCATTTATCTTTGTGCTTTTCCTTTAGATCTCTTCATTTTCAACTGTGAAAATTCTGAAAGATTAAAAAAGGAGTAACAGTCTGAGTTGGCAGGAGAAAATAGAATTAGCTTACAAAATGGAGAGCTAGTAGGTGCTACAGAGAGCTTCTGTTAAATCCCACATCTGAAGAGTAATTTATTTACTTTCTGGGTCCAAAGAAAATTAGCAATATGAACACCTAATAGACTGAACCATAAATGGGATGTTTCAATACTATTTATTGTTAGACAGAGTTACTAGAAAAATACAATGTATTGAAGGTTATTTCAGTGACTCATTTAACAAATTTAAAAGGAAGTACTTATAAGAAGGCTAAATGTTGTTAAGGATGTCAAATAGCATCAACTAGCATTTTGTTTTCTAAATGAGTAGCTTGGTGGCGATTATAATAAACTTTAGTTACATATAAACATAGCAGAGAGTAATTTACAATTGGAATCTCACTGAATTTGAAGTTTCTAGTACAAAAAAAATAGTTAATATCTTGTTACACAGTAATCTTGATCTTAAGGCATGTGTAGCTGGTAGAGCAGTATAGCTGGCTCAACCCAACGACAACAAGAGATAAAGAAGAAATGGAGGGATTTGTGGTAGAATCACATAGCTGTTTAAGAATAAACCAGCAACACCATTCCACAAATTAAGGAGAGTAATTTGAAAGAACCAGTTACATAAAGAAACAGAAACATAATGCAGCCATTGTCGGGAATTTCAGAAAAACATAAACTTTTCTCTTCTTAACAAAGGGTCTTTGCATTTGCAACAATATGGATGGAGCTAGAGGGTATTATGCTCAGTGACATAAGTCAGGTGGAGAAAGACAAGTGCTAAATGATTCCCCTCATTCGTGGAGTATAATGAAGCAAAACTGAAGGAACAAAATAGCAGCCGACTCACAGACTGCAAGAAGGGCCTAGTGGTTACCAAAGGAAGGGTGTGGGAGGGCAGGTGGGGAGGGAGGAAGGGGATGGAAGTGTATTTTGATTAGGACACATGGTGTGAGGGATCACGGGGAAAACAGTGTAGCACAGAGAAGGCAAACTGAATCTGTGACATCTTACTACACTGATGGACAGTGACTGCATTGGAGTATGGGTGAGGACTTGATAATATGGGTAAATGTAGTAACCACATTGTTTTTTCATGTGAACCTTCATAAGAGTGTATATCAATAATACCTTAATAAAAAATTAAAAAAAAAAAAGGAAAGGGTCTTTGGCACCATGACCAGATAGAAAACACAACTTTTAATATCTAGTTTAAAAAAATTACTGTTCATTTGATGCAATGTCTAACCATGGATTTTACTTATATTTTCTACCAATAACAGAACCCAACGAAATAACACTCAATCTCAAAAATAATTATACTAAGTACATTCTTAAAGCTATGTGTAAGAGTTTAGTTTAGGATATATATGTTCATTCATGTTTCCTTTTTATATTATCATCAACAGTATTTCATAATAGCAATGAAAGTAATGGCAAAGTAACTATACCTTTTTTTCCCCTAAAACATCACAGAATTTGAAGAACTATATACACACTCTCCCTCTTTGAAAAGCAATATACTTATTGCAATCATGCAATCAATGTTCAATATAAACTGAAGGTCTACTTTTGAAACTGTCTTTGGGGATTATGCATGCTCTTTCTTATTCCTAGATCATTAACAATTCTTTTAAAACACCATTCTCAATAGCTGAAATAATATTCTATCATATCCATATGTCTTAGTTAAATCTTGCCCTTAATTTTTTATTTTTTGATTTTTTAAATTATACTTGCAAATAAACCATTCTCAGCTTAGACTTGTTATGTTTTAAAATGTCTTCATATTACTATCAAATTTCTCTGCAAACGAACTGCACAAAATTTCCAGTTCATTCAGTAGAGTATGGAAGTCCAGCATTTAGTATTAACTTGACAAAATATTTACTAATCAATAGTCAAAAATATCTCATCTTATTTTAATTTACATTCTTCTGACTACTAATAACATTGAATATGCTTGAGCATGTTTATTGATTATTGGTATTTCCCTAATTCTGGTTTCAGACTTCTTCACCTTTTTTAAAAAATTGGGTATTGATTTTTAGAGGAGGCTCTATTGCTTTTGTTCATATTAACTATTTGCCCTCTAGAAATCAGTTGAATACCTGGGTTTTCTTTATTATATTATGCTTTAACACTTAAAAAATTTTTGTATAGAAAAATATGAAAATTAAGCATTTTCTCTTGGTCAACTTTTATTCCCAGTACCATTCATTGAATGATCTTGCTGTTTCCTAATGGGGAGATGCCCCTATGTACGAGTCTGCTGGTACTCATCCCCATATCTCAGTTCTCCCTTATTTTCTAGAAGCAGGACATCTGATCTGTAGCTGGGCACATGGTCTCATGTTTCCCATCCTCCAGTTGGGAGAGAAGAGCAGGCCGTGTCTCTATCTCTGTCCAGGGATATCTGGAGGCTGTGATCCCAAACCGAGGGAGCAAAGTGGGCTGCACCACACAAGAACGGAAGGTGGGAGAGCTTAGCTGTAATCCATCTTCTCTCTTATGGCAGGTGGAGACAAGTTTGTGGATTACAGCGTAACTGCTTTTCCTGCCTTTTGTGTGGATGGGAGATGTGGGAACCCTGGGGTTACTGGTAATAGAACACAGAGGCAGCTGTGCTGGAGGTGGGACAAGGTGTGGGAGGGAGAGCTTCTCTTAAAGCCAGTTGCTCCTTACTTGTCAGGTTGGTCCTGACACATGGAGTACAAAACAGACCAAAAAGAAAACCATTGACAGAAAGCTCACCACAAAATTTTTAAGTAAAACCGAATAGACTGTATAGAGAAAATATTCCCCTGCTGACAATGTCTATGGACTGTCCATTCTGCACGTTGTTAAATAACTCAACTATTGTGTGACCTGAGAAGACGATTCTAGTGGCATCTAGTGAACCGTGGCAGGACCCAAGGAGGATGCATGTGAAATGTTATTGGACAAACAGAGCAGGAAATAGCTTCCCTTGTTGAAGAATGATTAAAAAGAAAAACAAAAAAGAAAAAAAACTGATGTTCAAATCAGACATTATTTACAATAAAAAGTAGAAACATCTTG